GTTAGTCATATTTTGTACCAGTACATTACTGCTCAGATCTGTTATAATGTAATGAATTCCATGACTGTTAGTCATATTTTATACCAGTACGTTAGTGTTCGGATCTGTTATAATGTAAAGAGTTCCATGACTATTAGCCATATTTTATACCAGTACATTACTGTCTGGATCTGTTATAATGTAAAGAGTTCCATGACTATTAGCCATATTTTATACCAGTACATTACTGTTTGGATCTGTTATAATGTAAAGAATTCCATGCCTCTTGGCCATATTTTATACTAGTACATTACTGTTTGGATCTGTTATAATGTAATGAATTCCATGACTATTAGCCATATTTTATACCAGTACATTACTGTTCGGATCTGTTATAATGTAAAGAATTCCATGACTGTTAGCCATATTTTATACCAGTACATTGCTGTTTGGATCTGTTATAATTTAAAGAATTCCATGACTATTAGCCATATTTTATTTCAGTACATTACTGATCCGATCTGTTATAATTTAAATAATTCCATGGCTATTAGCCATATTTTATATCAAAACATTGCTGTTTCGATCTGTTATAATGTAAAGAATTCCATGACTATTAGCCATATTTTATATCAGTATATTACTGTTTCGATCTGTTATAATATAAAGAATTCCATGACCATTAGCCATATTTTATATCAGTATATTACTGTTTGGATCTGTTATAATTGAGTGGTCACAAGTAAATAGACACCTAATTTTTCGTCATTTAACTGATTTATGCTAACTAATTTGTGTTCACAGAGCACTATATAAATGAAAATGGTCCGCACACTAATTATCTTGTGCTACAACATGCTTAGAACTCAAGGTTCTCTCGATTGTCAGATTTTGTTAGAGGAAGGATAGTTGGTCAAGCAGATGGTGGAATAAGTCAGTGGCAAATTTTGCAGAATTTGGGAATCCCATATTTGACAGTCAACAGAATCATCGTGCAATTCAGGAAACACGGCAAGGAAACAACTGAGCAGTGTCCTGGTCCATCGTAGAAGACAAAAGGGCTGTCAAGAGGAGCATTGAAATGGATCCCAGATTAACAACTGCAGAAGTGGCCAAAGTTGGTGGGATGAGCCCAAAATCTGTTCAACGGATTCTCCAAAGATTGGGTTATCGTTGCAGAGCAGCTAGACAGAAGCCCTTATTAAGACCTGCCAACATAGTCAGACGAAAGAAGTGAACAAGTGATATGATGACCAAGCCTCTGGACTTTTGGAAGACCGTATTGTTCTCAGATGAATCAAAATTCGCTCAATTTTCGGACAGTAGAAGGATATGGATCTGGAGAATTCCTCACCAAGAGTTTTGGTTCAACAGATTGCAGCCACCTGTGAAGCATGATGGTTTCAGCATGGTGGTTTGGGGAGCTGTTTGGGTTGGTGGGAGATCGAGCTTAGTGGAGTGCGTTGGCAACATAAATTTTGCAAAATATTGGAGGAAGGACTCTTGCCACTTTATTCCTCGGGTTTCGTGGACAAGAACACAATATTGTTCCAGGAAGATGGAACACCGTGTCACACTGCTAGAAACACCCAAAAGTGACAGGAGGAAAATGGTATCCAGCAGTTGCCCTGGCCGAGCCAATCTCCTGACATGAACCCCATCGAAAACCTCTGGGCAATACTCGACCGGCAAGTCAATAAACAACC